GGAGCGGCCACTGCACTCTAGTCTGGGTGACAGAGTGAGACTCCAACTCAAAAAAAATAAAAATAAAAATAAATAATAATAATAATGTAGTGTGGGGGGTTAATGCATATGTAGACGAAAACTGTGTGACAATAATAGTGCAAAGGTTGGGAGGGGAGAAATGGAAGTATGCTAATATCAACTAAAGGTAGACTATGATAGGCTAAAGATGTATGCTATACATCCTAAATCAACCACTATAGAAATAAAACAAAGAGTTATAGCTAGTAAGCCAACAAAAGAGATAAAATGGAATCATAAAAATAATTTTAATTTTTTTTTTTTTTTTGAGTTGGAGTCTCACTCGGTCGCCCAGACTGGAGTGCAGTGGCCACTCCCGGCCACCGCAGCCTTGACTTGCTGGGCTCCGGCGATCCTTCCACCTCAACCTTCCAAGTAGCAGGAATTAAAGGCGTGCACTACCATGCCCAGCTGATTTTTTTTATTTATTGTAGAGATGAGGTCTCGCCAAGTTGCCCAGGTGGGTCTTGAACCCGGGCTCAGGCAATCCACTCACCTCAGCCTCCCAAAGCGCGTGATTACAGGCTGAGCCACCGAGCCCGGCTTAATTTTAATTTTAAAAGGCAAAAAAAGAAAAAGACTGGACACAGTGGCTCACACCTGTAATTCCTGCACTTTGGGAGGCTGAGGCAGGAGGATCGCTTGAGGCCAGGAGATTGAGATCAGCCTGAGCAACACAGCAAGACCCTGCCTCTATCAAAAAAAAAGGTGGGTATGGTGGCACACAACTATGGTCCTAGCTATTCCAGAAGCTGAGTCAGGAGGATTATTTGAGCCCAAGAGTTCAAGGTGGCAGTTTTATGATCATGCCACCACACTCCAGCCTGGGTAACAGAATGAGACCATGTCTCAAAAATAAAATAAATAAAAAGGCAAAAAATAGGAAAAAGGGAACAAAGAACAGATGCGACAACAGAAATAGCAAAACCTAACCCTATCAATAATCACATCAAATATAAACACTCAAATCAAAAGACAGAAATTGTCAGATTATACAAGAGAGTAAGACTTAACATATGCAGTGTACAAAAAACCCCAACTTAAATATAAGAAACATATAGGTCAAAACTGAAAGGGTAGGAAAGGTGTATAATGCTAACACTAATCAAAAGAAAGCTAGAGTGACTATATTAACATCAGGCATAGTACATTTTAGAGCAAAGCATATTACCTGAGAAAAGGGGGTTCGTTTAATAATGATAAAGAGGTCAATTCAACAAGGGGGTATAACAGTCTTAAATGTTTATGCTCCAAATAACAGAATTTCAAAATATACAAAGCAAAAACTGATAGCCTTTCAATGAGAAATAGGCAAATCCACAAATATAATCAGAGATTTCAATATACTCTTCTCAATAATTTAAAAAACAGAAAAATCAGGAAGGATATAGAAAACTTGAACAATACTATTAACTAATTTGTTCCAACTGTCTGTTGGACACTCTACCCAAAATAGCATACAACACCTTCTTTTTAAGTACACATGAAACATTTACTAAGACAAACCATATTCTGGTTAGTCTTTTAATAAATTTAAAAGAACTTAAGTGATACCAAGTATGTTCTCTGACCACAACAGAATTATTTTAGAAATCAATAACAGAAAGATGGCCCATACACAAAACTTCAAAGTATTAGGAAATTAACACACTTCTTAAGAACCCATGGACAGGGCCAAGCTCGGTGGCTCAGTCTGTAGTTCTAGCACTTTGGGAGGCCGAGATGAGTGGACTGCCTGAGCCCACGGGTTCGAGACCAGCCCAGGCAACTTGGTCAGACCTTATCTCTAAAATAAATCAAAAGTCAGTCGGGCACAGTGTATGCCTATAGTTCCGGTTATTTGGAAGGCTGAGGCAGAAGGATCACCGGAGACCATCAGGTCGACGTTGGGATGACCAGTGACTGTGTCACTGCACTCCAGCCTATAGAGTGAGACTCGAATTAAAAAAAAAAAAAAAAAAAAAAAAGAACCCACGGATCAATGCTACATACCTATTAGAACATCTAAAATTTCAAACAAACAAACAAAAAACCTGACAATCCTAAGCACTGAAGATGCAGAG